GGAAGACACCCCTCAGAACACAAGACACATACCCACAGACACAGATATACGGGCAAGCAAAATAAACTTAGCACGCTAGGCTGACTACGATGGCCGAAGAACGTTAGAGCTATTTTAACAAGGGACCAACACCAGAAATTCTGACTCTGATCCCAACCCCAATCTTTACCGAAACCCAAACAAAAATGCTGCACAAGGCAGCGCAATAGGCAATAACAACAACAACAACAATAATAACAACAGCAATGGCAGTGGCTGTGGCAGTGGCAAGAAAAAGCTCCATTTACGCTTGCTTAGTTCCTTTTAGTATAAAGTTTAAGCTTAATCCAGCATAAAATCAACTGGTAAATTTTTTATGTCGACAGCGTCGAAAGCGGCATCGGCAGCAGCAGAAAAAGGCAGAAAGATTAAAGAGTTAAGCCATGAACCCAAACACCCTGCCTATATACCCAAAACATTGAAAGCCCATACAATACAACTTCGGCAACAACAACAATAAAGCAAAATTGTTGGCTATTGATACGAGGGCAGACAGCTAAGGGGAAAAGTTTAAGTTGCCTCGCGCCATCCTTCGATCATAAGCCATTTATGGCGCAACCCTTTCAATCAATTGGATTATTGCATTTGCCCGCCAAAATTATAAGCGACATGAGCCAGATTCCAGCCCAGCCCAGCCCAGTCCAGCTAACCCTCCATTACACACCGCATTCCCCCCGCCACACCTGCGTTTGGCACGTCTTGCATAACTGTAAACAGACTATTGAATGGGCGCAACAAGCGGAAACACGTCTGCCGGCCATTTTGTGTTTGCAGTGAAATCAAACCGGAAATGTTAAAATATGCAGCGTTGCTACAACAACAAAATGCCTGCTGGACAAACTGACCAACTGATTGACTGACTGTCGGACTAACAGACTGACTGTCTGCCCCTTCCTGCCTGCCTGACGGGTCAAAGTGCTGTTGTTGACGGCAACAACAACTATAGTTGTTACAACAACTTGACACCAAAGTGCGCTAAATGTCAGAGATTACAAATGCAGGCATACATAATATATTCAAAATATGTAACTCTATACAGACAAATGTACATACGAGTATATTTCACTAAAAGGCCAACAGATTATGCATGCGTGCCTGATCTTTCATTTAAGCCAACTGCCAACTGCCACACTGTCCACTATCCATCCAAAGATGCCAGCAATTTAATTTTAAATCGATGCGGTCAAGCGAGCCAAGCCACTTACTTCTTTAAGTTCGTGCGCAAACGCTGATCTATTTGCTTGCAGGCGCCAAAAGTTTGCCCTGACATCGCCTTTGCCTTTTGCCATTTTTATGCGCCATTATAAACTGATTTATAGGTTCATTTCCAGGCATCTCAATGAAGTGCAGCAGCCCTGCTACAGCCAGTATGCGATAAAAAGAATATGTAGAGTATTAAAGAAATGTTGCTTGAAGAACTTTCTTGACTTTACAAGTATGTGCATACGAGTATGTGGAAGCTAAAGAAAACACTTCGCGGCAATGTTTTAATGAGTTAATTTAAACTTGTTAGTAAATGATTCAGTTTTTTTTAATTAAGTGCCAAGTTTTTGTGGAGGCAACAAAAATGTTGCAAAAAATTGTTCTCTTCAAATTACGTTTGAAATCTGCAAATAACTTCGAGGACACCAAATGATAAATGCAAAATTTAATTGAAATTAAAAAGCACACATCCATGAATTAGTAAATAAAACAAGATTTATTTACTTATATTTATTCATGTCAACAAACATTGACTGTCGACATAGGAAAACAATATACAAAAAATATATAGAAAAACCTTATAAGCTAGGAAAGCCTAAGTAGAAGAAATCTATTGATAGCAATATGTAAAACAAATATATATATTTAAAAACAAGGGAAAACATTTAGAAAATGTTGAGAAAAACAGTCCTGGTATTTAACTCAGCTTTGCTTGGTTGCTTGACTGCAACAACCACTAAGCGCTAGGCCTAGTTCAACAAAAGGCCTGCTGCCACATTGTAATACATATGTATGTACCTTCAAATCTAATTTATAGAATATCAGTTATCATGTTCAACTCGCATTCCTAGCAGACCAATACATGTAATTATGTTTATCTGAATCGTATCGCAAAAGTATTTTATTTTAAAGTCAACTCAAAAGTATTTGAACTGTAGCTGCAGTGTCAGCATCCGAAGGTTAAAAGTAGTAATAACTTGCCGAAGATGTGCTGCAAATTGCAGTTGCCATGGGCTCTTGAGCACACACACACACACACAAACATGCACGCAAACAGCCATACATTCACAATCACACTCACACAAACAGACAGCCAGTTACAATGATGATGCATGTGCTCGAGCAGTGGGACATGTTGCTTAAATGTGGCCTCTGATTGCATATATTTGGGCGAAAACAAAAACAAAACTTTAAGCCGATATCAAATCTTTCAATAATTAATAAAACACACCATGCACATACCAGCACACACATACACACACACACACACCCGCCCACACATACTTCAACGCACCTAGTACACGCGCGCAAACAAACGCAAGCCCGTAAATAAACAGGCAGGCAGGCAGGCAGCCTGGCAGGATTCGAGCAGCCGGCAAAGTACGAGCGATTCGAGCGCAAAGTTTTGCCAGCGTTTCCCTGCCCATGTTCCCTCCTCCTGCGACCGCATCTACTCCTGCCAGCCGTGTAAAGGCTGCGCACACATACACACACGCACACGTTCACTGAGCACGTGTTCATTTCCGGCTACAGCATTTAACGTGCATATCCTGCCAGCACTATAAAGCAGGGCAGCATCCTTGCCAGCGTGTTCGACTTGGGCATGACTATGCCTGGTTATTCTTGTTGCTGTTGTATTGCTGCCCGACTAAGCCGTCGTCGTCGTCGTCGTCGATACAACAACAAGCTTTCAGATTTAATTTTAATTAGGTGCTATTGAATTTATAAATTTTTCAACTGCTGTCGTTGCTTTGCTTTGTGTGGCTCCAGGATTGCTGTTGCTCCTACTGCTCCGCTCCTGCTACCGCTCCGGCTACAATGCCTTCCTGGCGTACGTAAAACTTTTACAGCATTTCATTGAAAGTTTTCGCCATGGTTTTGTGGCGCCTGTTGCCGACGCGTCTCTGCCACCGTCAACGTCAACGCCGACTCCGACGCCGACGCCGACGTCGCTGACACTAATAACAATAATCGCAAATTATATTTTCATGAATTTTCAACTCGTAATTATTAATATATATGTATATACCTTCCTTCTTTTCTTTTTTTTTTTTTTTTTGTTTTTGGTTGCCAAAGAGAACAGCCACTCGATTCAAAGCCAAAATGGCGCATAATTAAAATTTGTTGTTATTCAGTTTTAATTCCATGGACGGAGGTGAGTATGTATGTATGTATGTGTGAGTGTGTTTGTGTGTTTGTTTGAGGTGTGGGGCCTGCCCTCTGGCATTTTACAATGAATAACAATGTACATTCATTTTGTATATTAATTGTATATTTGCGTAGGCTGCATATTAAACTGATGCTAATTGATATGAATGATGTCCTCCACCTGGCCGGAATATAGAACAGGAGTGAGGGGGGTGGGTCCGAAAATTTCTGTCTGGTTTTGCCAGAAACCGAGGCGTATCATTCAATAATTTTCAAATAAATGCCACAATGGCAGCAATGCTACGATTATCCATCGGAAAACTTTTGCCAGCCAATTTATTATTGGAAAATGTTAACTTGATTGATTTATTTGCAAAACCACCTCATAGCTTAAAATAATTATCCATGCTCTTGAGGGGTAAGGGGGGGTAATTGAGGTTAATTAAAGTTATCTTAATCAATAAATGCCTTAGTCAGTCAGTCAAGAAGACTTAAGCGCCACTCACAAATAGTCGCTTTAAATTCCATTCATTCATTAAGTTGTGAGCAAATGCATATTTTATGAATGTTTATTTTATGAAAAATCTTTATTTTTTTAAGCTTTGGGCTAACGAGTTTTATGTTATGTAATTTATATTGTATTTATTTCTTAAATACCTCGCTTTTCCCCGCTTCAGATTTTCAATGACGGACGGACAGACAAGCGGACATGTTCCTAATACGTCATCCCTTAATTTCAATTCATTTCATATGAATTGATAATACATAAATATGTGGTCTCTCTGCCTGTTATCTTTATTTGGCGACTATATATAGACTTTCTAGTACAATTTTCACTCCAAAAGGTACAGGGTGTAATTAAATGACTAATAAAATCATTTTAATTAAAATATTTGTGGTGTATGCTTATAAATAATTGAAGGTTTATAAAGATTTATGAACAGGTTTCCCTGTCGATCTTATTTAGTGTACCGTATATCTGTTGCTGAAAAATTTTATCTGTTCTTGTATTAGACTAAAGAGTAAGTCGTTCTCAAAGCACTGCATCTCTTGTAGGGTTTTGACCAGAACCAGAGTGTTTTGTTTACTTATCTCTTTTTTATCACTGCAGTTACTATATATGATGGTTCCATGTCAACATATTACCAAGAAACTCCAGAACATTTTGTTTATACTTAGTACAGATTACACTTTTCATTCTTAATTAGCTACTCGTACATATTAATGTCTAATCATTCAGGACATTCAAGCTATATTGTCAGTCATTAGCGATTAGGTCTGATATATGTAATTATTCTTTAAAGGCAGACTAATTTGCTAGCATTTTTGATATCCGTTTTCGAGGCTCAGGAATTTATTCTTTACCAAAATTGGTGACCCCTCCATTCCAACATTTTAAAACATGAAATGGGCTACAAATGGGTGTAAAAAAATAAACAAATACTTCCTTTATACCTATTTTTTGTCACTTCATATCCTAGTAGTCTTTGCATAAATGTTTCTCTCTAAATTTTTAAAAAGTACTTATTCAATTATATTTTGATGTTATAGTTTAGGAAGTTATAGACACGAAAATACACAGCATTGACATCACTAGATTGGACCTCAAGATGGGCGGAATTGAAAAACTAAAGCTTATGCTGGTAATGGCTTTCATGTGTATGGCAATTCTTGTATGCTATGTAGAATCTGTAAATGAGACTAAATACTTGCCTGCGGACACATCTGCGGAGCATCGTGAGAATATGTTGCGTGTACGCATGCATCTGTATTGTCAGGATCGTCCCTATAAGGCGCGGAAGATACTGCGGACCAACTATTGGGTGCTCGAGAACTATGTGATGGCCGAGCATGGTGCGATTCCGTGCTTCTCATCCATCACATATACAACGCATGCGGACTACCGTTATCTGGATAATCTAATACCTTTGCTGGAGCGGTGGCGTGCCCCCATCAGTCTGGCGGTTTATGCGCCTGGCACCGATTTTGTGTCCACCCTGAACAGCATAAGGTGGTTACTCCAATGTGCACCACAGCGGGATCTGGTACGCGCCTTCGTCAGCTTTCATATATACTTCAACGCACTGCACATGCCCAGTGCAGTGCCTAAGTCGGAGCATGTCCTGAAACGAAAAGTTGACTGTAAGGACGAGGCACCATTTGCAGATCCGGAGCTACCAATGACCTATCGTAAGCAACACTTTCTCAACTATCCGGTGAATGTGGGTAGAAATATTGCCCGGGATGCGGCGGTGACACATTTTGTGCTCGCCTCCGATATAGAACTTTATCCCACGCCACATCTTGTGGAGCGTTTCATGGACATGTTGGGCCGCAATCCCAAAATGATGAAGAACAATTCCCCGCATGTCTATGTCCTGCGCGTTTTTGAGGTTGAGCAGAATGTAACGGTACCGGACACTAAAAAGGAATTGAAGTACCTGCTGCGCAAAGGTCTGGCCATCTCCTTCCACAGCCGACTCTGTCCCGAGTGCCATGAAGGACCACGCTTGAAGGCTTGGATTGCAGCCAAATCGTCGGATGTCTTAAACATTTTCCATGTAGGTCAGCGCATTGGAAGCGCTATACGCTGGGAGCCCATCTTCATTGGCACCCAGATGGATCCAGTCTACGAAGAACGCCTCAGCTGGGAGGGAATGAGCGACAAGATGACCCAAGCCTATGCCCTTTGTGCCTTGGGCTACAAATTTCTTATACTCGATAACGCCTTTCTCACGCATAAGCCAGGTATCAAGACGACGGTGGGGGATATAGAGCGCGTCTTCCTGGCAGCCCGAACATACTACATGATCAGTCGCAAGATGGTAAACGAGCTACGTATCATGTATGGCAATCGATGGGGCTGCACTATCTAGATGGAGGCCTATTTACACCTTCAGACCATCTTTCACACTATCTTGAAAATTTTAAATTTTCCGTATATCCACTATTCTGTATCGATATATAACGAATGGATTCTTAAATTTTGTGCAAACATGTTCAGCCTGTAATGCGAAATGCGAGCGTATAAAATATGAACTGTAAACCGAAATAAATATTTATTATAGCTATTTGGAGAGGGGGAGGTCGGCTTAATTGAATAACAATTCATATGCACGAGTTCATTGGGGGTCGAGTTCAAACAAAAGTCGATTCTGTTCGACTATAACATGCCCTAGAAAGAACCTGTTACAAATTAAACTAGTTGGTAAGCTAAAAATACAAAAAATACTTTACAAAATAAGTTGAAATTGTAAATACAAGTATTGATTTGAAAGTAGGCGTCGGTAATAGCTGAGGCTAAAAACATTTTTGAAATGGTAACAAATTATTCTGTTGCAATGTGTAGAGATGGGCATTCTATATTTATAAAAACACATATATACTATTAAATACTAGCTAACTATAAAAAGTGCGCGATTTTAATGAATGTTATATAACTGTAAGCTATTACTTTCTAAGGTACACATATAAATAAAGTGCCAGATTTTAATAAAATGTATATAAAGAAGCCGATCGGGCTTATTTCGTAATATGATCCAGGCCTCTGTAATTAATATTTGAAATAACTGAGTATTTATTAACAATTTCAAAAAGCCTTGGCAAATATTCAATATAAATATAAATATTTTAATAAATATTTTTAAGCAATGGGTTTTACGATTATGCTCGTAAAAGATGCAAAACTTTCAATAACTAAAATCCGAACTTTTACGAAATAAATTACTCACCACAGCCTTTTTTGAAAAAGTCTATAAATCTTTTATACTGTTTCAGACTAATATAGACGCATATCTTTAGTTATAAGAAACGAACTCTGGCAACCAATATAAAATTCAAAACTAATGATAGGGCCAAAACCAAATATTTTAAATTATAGCTAGCTGATTTATGGTTTACAGGCAGGCCAAGTTTTAGCATGAATGGTTTGTATGGGTTTTAAGGATATTGGGATCAAACTATTTCCCTTTTATAAGGAATTTGAAGATCATATTACCTCATTCAGTGCTGCTTGTGTCGGAACTGCTTTGCAATCCTTTCAATACTTTATAGCTTGTTTGAAACTAATATGCCCTTTCAAATTGTTTCACTTTTCCAGCGACATAAAAAGCGTGGAGGGAGACTTAAATTTACACAAAATGAAACTCTAAGCCATTTATTGTTATATTTGTGCGCGACTCCATTGTTGGGCAGGGGACTTAAGGGGAGGATGTAACAATATAATATTTATGCCGCAAATTATTAACATTCAAAATGCAATTGATGCCCCAAGTGATTAATTAAATTGTTTTTTTTTTGTTTTTCAAGCACAGCACACACACATGTACAGATGTTTGGTTATGTAACAATTTAGCGAATTCAAACAGCATTGTTGTTGGCTGACAACAAAAAGTATTGTAACAATGGCAACATGCAGCCAGTTACATTTTCTCTGGCTGCCCATCAAAATGACATGAAAACTTGGCGCAACAAACTGATAGGGGAAAACCAAATGAAAAACAAAAAACTTTGCTAAAGACAAATGACCCTTAAAGTTAAAACTAACAGTGACTAAATGGAGACAACAGCGAGAAAAAGTGTTATGTACGAGAAGTATGTGTGCCAGTGGCCTTAAAAACTGAATGGCAAATGGAAGAAGTGCAAGACAGACAAAAGCAGAAGTAGAGCAAAATCTTTTAATTGCTGCCAGTAGCCAAGCAAGCGAAGCTATCCATTTGTCTTTTGGCCAACAGTGCAACTTGGTTCGAGTTCAAGCCCCATGTTTGTCGAGCAACGATTTGATGACTCACTTGTGGGTGTTCCAAAGGCCTTTTTGCTCAGCCTCACCGAGATGCGAGTACTCGCGTGAAATTGCAAATTTGTTTCACCTCAGCGCAGGTGGCACTCTGCTAACTCAACCATCAGGAAGAATGCAATTTCAAAAAAGAAAAGAAAACAAGCCCAAAACAAACTTCAAGCGAGGTACAAATGCAACAATGGCACAAGAGTCGTCCATTGGCAGCGTGTGGATGAGAATGAAAATCTGGGTGAGGTGAAAGTTAAGGTGGAGGTCGAAGCATTCTGAGCACTCATCAAAGTGACCGATTGTTAGAACGTGTCATGGCATCAATGAGAGGAAACGACAAACAGGCGGCCGACACAGGATGAAAAATGAGTGGAGTGGAATTAGCTGAGAACGTGCAATCTGCCAGGATATTTGTGGAGGCATTGTCACAGCTCCCCAATGTACACAGGCTGCACAACAGTGGACAGTTTCCATTCCCTAGAAATGCTGACAGCGAAACAAGTCAATTACGTAATTACAAATACTGTAGCATACAACTAGGCGCAAAATGTAATAGCACTTCATGGCTGCGGGCACAAAAAAACATATTTTCAGTCACTTAATAAAGGGATTTCGTTTAAAAGCCTACAAAAGTACAGACTTTCAACTAAATATTTGAAAATGATTTTCCTACAATTTCAGGCTTCAACAATTTGTAGTCGGTTTGATTTCGAGCAATTTAAAGATCCGTTCGTCTCTTCGCTCTCCGTATGAACAATTTTTAATCATGACAACTAGGCACCCAAACATGGTATGAAGACTTTTCTGATTGCAAGATAATTCTATAACAAATAATGAGGCATTTTATATAGCCGCCATGGGAACGATCGGTAGAAGATACACACTTGCCTTTGCTAAGACATAGAAATCAAATTTTACTTTTTTGAGTGTTTTTAGAGACCCCCGTATACTAATCTAGTTCTAAATTTGATCAAAATCGGGACTCTATTCAATATTTAAACTGTAACGTAAAGAACGATTGGCGCAATAACATTCATTTTATTTAAAGAACTGTGGCAGAGACAAACGCAGAATTGGACTAACTTATTTATTGAAGTTGCTGCAAATATCCCAAATCTTGTAATTTTAAATGTTTTAATGTTTCATATTCATAGAGACCGACATAATGAAGAAAAAAGTACAGATTTTAGGATATTAACTTTGCCTAAAACAGAAACCTTTGAACCGTATGCTTACAAAATCTTTATCTAATGTTAATTTGCAAGTGAATTTGTATAAATTTATTTAAACATAAAATACACCTGTGAGCCATAATCGCCATAAGATGCTATTTAAGTTTTCAAAAGGTGCTCATATCACATAAGTCTTTTTTTAATTTTTCTGTATCCTTCTGTATCTTAACACATATGTATGAATAAATATTTTATTTCATTTTGAGGCAAGCAAAATTCAACTTTGCTCTCCTATCTAGGTAGTTAAAACAGAGCAGCAAAATGTGAAAAAAACGATAAATATTTCACAAAATTGAAAGAGTTGTGCCATTTAGCCAGGATGGCAAAGGAAGCAGCATAAATGTAAATATGCATAGACTCGGTATATGTACGTGTATCTGAGGTTGTAAAGGATAGTTCCCCATATTGTGCACTTGTTTACATTTACATAACAGCAACTACTTACATGAATTGAAAGCATAAGCCAGGCACGCAAACAGCAGACTGAAGTCTGCTTAGAAATCGCCTTACAAAGAAGACATCTATGTGTAAGAAGAACGACTTGAAGATGACAAATTGAATGGGCGGCTGAGGAGTTAATTGCGAGGCGTGTTAAGCAAAGACGTAATCGTGAATAAAATTGTGTGTTGTGCTGGTCACACTTTGCCTTCAAGGCAAACACTTTGCAATGAAAAGGCGTCGCACACATTTTCTATGACACATCTTGAGATTTTCTAATTTTGATGGCAAACAGCGATTAAAAGAAACGAGATTACTTTCTGCATACTGCATGAGGCCATTTAATGTGTTTGCATTGGAATAGCGCGCTATTCCACAGATTGGGCGTGACTGGGGGGGCGGATATAGAGTGTCTCTACTATTGACAGTCAGTTCGATGGCAGAAGCGTCCAAAATGCAGACATCAGTGCCATACACACGCTATGGCTATGGCTTGACGTTGGCGCTAATTTGCACTTGAATGCATCATCGGGCAGCAGATGCAGATCCGCATCAGCATCAGCATCAGATACTACTTCGAATGGGTGCGTGAGAATGGTGCAGCGTCATGCAGGTGCTGCTGTGGCTGCTGACTGACGATAATGATGACGTTAACGAGACCAATAACTGTTTGCTGCAGCATCCCAAGCTGAGCGTGAAGTAACAAACACTTGACGCCTAATCGAAGCAAATACCAAGCGGCTTGATTGTGCTTGATGTGTGCACATACACACACACACACACACACACGCTCACACAGATGAATGGCGGCTTTGCAACCACAATTTACAAAAGCCTCTAAAATCTGTTAAAATTTGAGCATAGCGGCAAGCAAAGCGGTTGAAGCGTTGACGACCATTGGCGGAATTTTCAAAAGGCTAATGGAACGACAGATGAGCGGCAATGGTGACGTAGTCGCAGATGATGCCTGCCCGCCTCCTGCCTCCTGCCTTCCTGCCATGCAACTAAACCGCACACACATCCTTCCACAGTCAAACAACCCACACACACATGCATGCAGATGTGACGTGTACGTATGTGTGTGTGTGTGTGTGTGTACCACTTCACGTACAATTTCCGGTTGAGAACATTTTGTGGTCTGGCGCAAATGCATTTATATTTCAGCAGCAGCAACAACGACAACAACAACAACTACAACAGTATCAGCATTCCCAAAAGCAACAGCAACAACAACAACAACCACCACATGCGGGAATGAATTCACAGAGCTTAAGCCATTTTTGGCCCCAGCATATTCATTTGCTTCCTTTTACTACTCTACGCGAGATTATTGAAGTACACACACACATACATATGTACAAACAAATATACATAGCAGTATATACACAAAAAAAAAAAACCTGCACTGAATCTCTGTAAT